AAACAACAACTACGATTACATGTTTTATTTTAAAAAAACTTTACTAAGTCTTTCAAGATAAATCAATTGCATGACATAATCAATCACACATTAAATAGACTGGCCTAGTGCATTAATAGATAAGGTAAGATACGATAATAATACAACTCTTGCTGTATTACCAAAAAAAGATACTAAAATTTTAACAGGAATTTGTATCACATTGTGCCCAAAGAAAAATTCAAAAAATATATACCGTCAGCGGTACTCAAATCAAAAACTTTTGAATTAAAAAAATAACAGTATTATTATAAGATATGAAACAAATTTATTCATAAGAATTTAACTAATAGTTAATATTCATATCAGAATAATTTAATACTGCAGAAAAGCTCAACACAAATGTGATTCCTGTAGATTTTACAACTCGTGTTTCGCCACAAGTTAGATAAAGATAAGGTACAAGACTAAATAATTAAAAACATATATGTAATCTAAGCTATCTAAATCTGTCAAAAAGAAAAAATATATATTTAGAGAAAACTAGAAACAGATAAAGATAAATTCACATAGATATTTAAAGGTAAAGATAATTATGATCATTTTCAATAAGGTAGCGACAAAAAAATTATTCCACATTCAGACAATAAAAAAATTAATGAAATGCAACGTAATGTCAGTATGAAAAATGAAGAAAATTCCCAGATAACTCTGCGTGAACCTATTTATCGGATATTGCCTAGTTAGCATCCACAGTAGCCATAGGGTATCGCTGACAACAGGTCTCGCATTATCATCTGTCAAAAATTCAACATTTCCCATAGATGACATCCAGAAAAAAATTTAAAAAATATATTTTTTTTTAACCTTATTCATTGTCACTATTGGTTCAATATTACTAAATTAGGCAGTATTGAGATATATAGATAAAAGAAACAATGTGTTAGATAAAAAGTTCAACGTTATTTTAAGTTAAATTTATATTTTGAAATCTTTGCATCTGATTGCAAAATTTTATAAAGAACCGAATTTGAGAAAAAGTACTAATGTTTAAATAAATTAAAATACTATGTTTTAGTAACAAGTATCAAATATACTCCAATAGATAATCTACATTATTCGGGATAAATGTTTCAGTTAAATAGGCAGATAAATTCAAAAAAAAATAAAAATTTAAAAATCGATAGCGATATTTTAACTGAAAGAAATGAGAAGAAAAAATGAGAGAAAAGAAAAGAAAAAACAGACTCTTTTAGTCGCCTTTTACGACAAGCTAGGTGGCTATGGACGTATTCTGCTCTTACAGTCCCGCTAATCCATACGGGGATATTCCTTTAGTCGCCTTTTACGACAGGCTGGTTCTGCCGTGGTGTTATTCTATCTCCCCTGAAGCACCACACGGGAAGATTCCTTTAGTCGCCTTTTACGACAGGCTGGATCTGCCGTGGTGTTATTCTATCGCACCCGAAGCACCACACGGGAATATTCCTTTATTTTTATATAACTCCTGCTCACAGATATCTTTTGCCAAATTTTCACTCTGGATATATGAGGTAATATATCCTAAGGCTGCTATAACTATCAAATCAATACTAGACTTAGAAGTTGAATATGAATCTCTAATATCGTCTTTCAAAATACCCTTAACATTGTATACGATAATGTCCGTAACGGACGAAGCGAATAAAAGAATAATTAAGCACATTCGTATTATATTTAATAAGCGAAGTTTATTGGATCGATAATTAAATTCTTTCTTTAGAATCGGAATTCTATCTTTAGCGAGAGATCTCATAACTCTAAATTCATCATTCCTGGTACTACACAATTTCTTTACCTCAGGAGAAATCGTAGTAGCATCAGAATTTTTTGGAAGAGCTTCCAAAGGACGCGAACTAGTCATAATATTACTAAATCCAAGGACGGGATTGCCGTTCCTGCCACTGACTGGCATCAAGGGAACTGACTGTGTTACGCCGCCTGGTATACCCATCTCCTCTACCGTGTGTTCTATTAACCACGTGAAAAACAAAATCTATTTTTGTCTAGCAAGCGAATGCCGCCCCACGTTGGGCGCCAATTTGCAATATTCCTTTGCCCCGTTAGGCTACAATTTGCAGTATTATTTGTTACCTTTTTGATAAATGTTAATTTCAAAACACTTATAGAGATTTTTACTAGCTCAGTGAAATTTAATATCAAACGTTACTTACCTTTAAAAATGAAAAAAAAAAAAAAATAAATGAGCACATCCTTTTCTCTGTCGTGAATTCGGCTTTTCAAATAGACAATTTTAAGGGTAGTAATCTTTCTAGGAAATGTTGGGCACCAATAATTCTCTTTTTTATTTTTAAATGCTAGTGAGAATTATAAATTCTAGCTTTATCAATAAAAAGAAGTTAATAAAAATTATACAGAATTTAGTGAATGAAAGAGAATTCTTTGTGACAATTAAAAAATAGGATTCAAAATATATACTTATAAAAATCAACGATTTTATTTAAAAAAAGAAACCTTTTCGAAAACAAATTATTCACAGTTATCAGATATTATTAAAATTGTGATTCGTACATAAATAATTTTAGTCACTAGTAATTACCAATTGTTTTATTGTTAGTCACTTGTAGATAACCATACGTAGTTTTTGTCCCTCGGAAACCAACGCCATTGTCTGTTAATCTTCCTTCTATGAAGCTTTGAATTGTAGCTGTCGCCTTTCCAAATCAAACAACTTTTCACTAGAGATCTCTGCTCCTCGGGAACCAACGTTCAGATTACAGCGGTAGAATGGTTTTACGGCTTTATAACGTTCGGCTTATGACGTTATGGCTTATGGATTTATGTGGCTCATGGATTATGTTTTATTGCTTATGGATTATGGCTTATTGCTTATGGATTATGGCTTATTGCTTATGGCTGATTCCATTCGCTTGCTAGACAAAAATAGATTTTGTTTTTCACGTGGTTCTGTACGATATATAAATTTGAAATATCTACTTTCTTTTTTTTTTTTTTAAATGAACCAATCAGATAATAAAAACTAGTGACTATACATATTGTGCCGTTCTAGCAACCAGAATGAATCATAAAAATATATTTAACTTTACTATTAAAAAACTAATAATTAACAAAAGGTTAGAATAATATTTCTACTGAGATATTTAATAAAGAGATTATATACTTTCTGTGCTTACCACTTTATCAGCCCAAATGCACCACCGATTTAATTGAAAGGTAATAATGAAATGAAATTTACAAATCTGACTTGAGATCGCTTGGCTAGTGGCACTCCCACTTCAAGAAATTTCCCTTTCTTTAGAATATTTTGTGTTGGCGATAATTAAATTATACCGGATGGCACACATTTAAAATAACATTTTATAATTCGACTTTTAAAATGTTACAAAGCCTTCAATAAAGGCTTGTCGTGCACTTGTTATATGACCATCCTGCCATACTTTTTTGACCGTATGTCCTTGGTTAACCCACGTCTCATCCATGTAGTCAATTTTTTTTTGATATTCCGAAATTCCTCAATTTTTCGGAGATAATTTCTTCTCCATACTATTATTTCCTGACGTTCAATGAGAATGCTTTTCCTGTCGACTTTTCCGTACGTAAATTTCATTTCGTGTAAAATTTTCCTCAAAGTTTCTTTACTCATTTGTGGGACCAATTCATGATCGCTAACTGCCTCCAGAACTTTTTGCAAAGTGGGCAGCTCATTTCTGAAAAAGAAACTGAATAGTTGTGCGTATACTGTTTTTGGCTTCTTCATCAACTGTGATTTTTTTTCTTCCGCTACTAGTTTTTGGCGTTTGTACTTCCCCATGAATTTTGTTTTCTCTTAGTATTTTGTAAACTGATGATTTTGGTACACCCGTATAATCAGAGCACATATCAACTAATTTATCTTTTGTAATTGTGGAAGTTAATGATGTTGGAACGCCCGGTTGGTTATTCGGAGGTACATCCGTAGAATTATAGCACATATGCACTAAGTTATCTTTTGGTCGCTGATGATCTCTTTCAAGACAGTGAAATACTCGAAGTACAATTTGTTTTTCACTTAGCGACCGAGACTTCGACCGTTTTACCTTTTTCGACGTTGAAGGCCCTTCAATGTCTTCCATTTTTTGCATAGTTTTAGAACGGTGTAGAAATATTATTATTTAATGTTTAAACACTTATTAGCACTAATATTTTCACCAATTGTTCTTACAACACGTCGATTACTTACTAACTTAACTGTAAAACTTACAATTCACACCGTATAATTCAAAACCCGATGTTACGCTCGTGGTTAGAAATACACTACTGAGAACGTCATCGACGAGATGGATTTTACGCGTAACAGACAAAGACACAAATATCGCTCCGTACACCGATGCCATTAGTTGTAACAAATACTGAACAATCCATAAAATAATTAATTTTAAATGATCAAGAAATGTATAAGTATTACTCATTACTGATTTTTGTTATAATTAATATCTTTTATTAGTACTATGATTGTATATTATCTATAATTTGCCACAACTTACAACTCTACTACTTACTCTATTTTGATTCTGCTAAAAACTAGTAAGGTAAAATTGAGATATGACAACACGGTTCATTATTTGTTTGAGTATAGACGGCGTTATAACACATACGGTATTTTAGGTTAAGTTATGTGATTAGCCCACTGTACTCAAACGAGTACAGTGAAGTTTCTCAGGGTTTATTACTCAAAGTATAAATAAAATTACCCATTAATAATTACAGGAGTCTTGTAATATACATAAACAAACCAAAAATGTATGAACATATTAATTAAAAAACCATGCAGACTGTAAAAAAAAATATTATTTGCTTACCTGCGTGCCATAATGTGCTTCTGTTGTAGAGCCGCTGTCAAAATAATTTCTCAGCTGGTAAGTATTCACTGTTATGCATTTGAAACTATTATAATACACTAGAAAACTGTAGTATTACTAAGTATATCAGGTGGAATTATTGAAATTCATCCACAGATGGCTCTACTGTGCCGCTTTTTCAATTACATTTTTATGTACTCTAATGAGTACAATGGGAATGAATGGGTTAACAGATGTAATATCTTTAGGATACTTGTAAGGCAGTACATTATCAAATGAAACATTCAAAGGAACAAATTGGATATTTGTATCAATATTTTGTAGCACATGATCCGCCTCAGTTTGGAGATTCTCAAGTTGGAGATTTTGATCAGTTTGTAGATTTTCATCAGGTTGGGGACTTTTATCAGTCTCTAGATTTTTATTGGTCTGGTTATTCTTATCAGTTTGAGGATTCTTATTAATTTGGGAATTCTCATCAGTTTGGGGATTCTCTTCTATATGAAGACATTCCTTGGTTTGAGACCTCTCATAGAAATGAGGATTCTCGTCGGTTTGGGGGTTCTTATCGGTTTCAGAATTCGCGCCAGTTTGGAGACTCTTGGCCGATTTGGTAATTCCCAAATGTTTGGGTATTCTCATCGGTTTGGAAATTTGGATTGGTTTGGAGACTCTTATCAGTTTGAAGATTCGGATTGGTTTGGAAACTATCATCAGTTTGGTAATTTTTGAATGTTCGGACATTCTCATGGATTTGGAGGGTGTCAGCAGTTTGCGGATTATCATCGGTTTGGGAATTCGGATTAGTTTGGAGACTCGAATCAGTTTGGAGATTTTGATTGGTTTGGAAATTCTCATTAGTTTGGTAAGTCTTGTATGTTTGGGAATTCTCATCGATTTGGAGGGTGTCATCAGTTTGCGGATTCTCATCGCTTGCCAGATCTAGTTGTGTACTTTTTGGACTAATTAAAATATCCTGTAATATGTTCATATTTTTATTTTCTTTGAGAACTGGTGAAATGGAACTGTCAGGAATCTCATCTAATTTTGGAGTAGACGTAGGAAATTCTAAAACAATTTCCGCGTCGTTTATTTCAAATTGCTCTATAGGTCATCTAAATTAGGGTCAGATGACCTCAAATTGTTCTATAGGTAGAATAGCCGTTTCGTACGAATTTTCCAAAAATAATATTACTTCTTTAATAATGTCAACATTTACACCACGGTTGGTTAACTTTTCTTGAATATTCTCCAAGATTTTCTTTGCAGATTCAATTTCAAAAGTGGAGAATTTCCCATTTCCCTTTCTTCCTCTGTCGTATTTCCTGTGTATGTTTTAGTTTTTTCAAATGTTAAATAATTCTTTTGCTGATTCAGAACCAGTCCTATTCTTCCGTTTGTTGGTATGACCTTCTCAAAGTATAGAAAATGTGGTATTTCAAACTTAACTGGTTTAATTTTAATTTCATGTTCTTCGTTTCCGATAGTTCGCGAAGGATCTTGCATACATTTGGTAAAGTCAATTGCCTCCACATCGTACGGATAAAACCCACACTTTTTGAAACCATTTTTAACCATTTTCGCACTTATCTCTTGGACTGCAGTATCTAGTAATAAAGGAAACGTTGCCTTATTAACAACTTTATTATTATTATTATTATTATGGGCCTTTTTCCAGTTAATAACAGTTTATTTCCAGTTAATTTTTAGTGGTCGAAATAAGGAGACGTCTGCAGGTTGTAGTATACGAGTCGCATTCGGATATATGCGAATAAATAGATTCCATTGTCTGCGCAGAATTTGCTAAGATTATATGTTAGGTGTGACTTGTGACCATCAAGTAAATAAAGAACTGGAAGTTTTACTTCTTTTTTCTTTAAATGAGGCAAAAAGGTGTTGCAAGCATACCTGTGAAAAGACTGACTGGACACCCATCCTTTCTTTGACGTTCCTGTAAAAAAATGTTTATTGATACCTATTTTATTTAAATCATACTTATAATGAAACATACCTATTACTCATTCCGGATTTGTATTCCGTACAATTTCTGCCGGAATTCTTTCGTATGGGTAGACGACAATTCGGGGACATATGTCACCATTTGCGGAGATCGTAAATAGAGCTGTAATTCACTCTTTGTCGGATCCAGATTTAATCTCATAAAAATTTTTCATCCCAGTGGGCCCTAAAACAAGTCCTGTTTTGGGATTGGTCGCAAAACCTGATTCATCAGAATTGAATATTGTTGGCGGATTTAAGATATCTTTAGCATTTTCAGAGGCTAAATAGGTACGAATGTCATACCACAGCCTTACAGAGTTTTTAGTTGTAGCGGCTCGTGATGTGTTAATTGATTCTGCATGACGTTGAGAAATATCAGTATGCCTTTTAAGAAATCGTTGGAACCACTTCATTCCCGGTAATCCATCTGTAAATAGTTTAGGTCGACCATCGCTCTTAATAGAAGACACAAGTGGATAAAGGGCTTATGTAACATTTTTTTAAATGGTGTTTTTCTGTGAATGAAGGGAGCTTATGTACCTAAAATTCGTTTAAAATGTTTTTCGTGACAATTTATCATCAAATAAAGAAGTTGCCAGTGGATAAAGGACCCATGTTCTAGGGATTAACTGCCAAACAATAAACTTTAACACGAAATATCTGATAAAAATTATTTTGCTACATAGGCCCTTCATCCACTTGTGTCTTCAATAATGTCATGTACCGTTTTACACAGGAGTTTTTTTGTAAGCGGGAACCCTGAATATTTGAAAAACGGGTTCTTTTTGTTCGACATTGCTGACTATAATAAAAGAGAAATAAAATGTTATTTCCCACTTCATTTCTGTATGATCATAAAAGAAGAAAATAAAGTTCAGTTATTAACCACCTCCCAAAACCAGTAGTTGACCACCATGTTTTATGTGGTCAAATACTGGAAACAAAAATAACAAATTTCTTTAAACGACTAATTAATGGCTTGTGAAAGAGTGAGAAAACCACATAGTTTACTAAAATACCAGTAATTGACCAGGGTGAACAATTGCTGGAATCTTAAAGTATATTCCATGGTAGTAATTGTTCATTTTATTTTTTTTTTCCTTAAAAACGTAAGGTTTTAATTAAATATATCAAAACACCCTTAATTCTATATGTTAAGTATATAATATTTCCTGGCATTCAGGATGATTACAGAATTAAAAATACACGTGTACTTACCTTGCTTATTACACAAACATGCATTTAGCACTCAACAAGGCACACTAGATTTGCATAAGCTGTAAAACAAGTGATCTCGTAAATATGGTAGTTAGCTTGCCCCATCTATTAGTCAAGGGGTAAAACTATCAAAGTGAAACGCTAAAAGCCATCATAAGTAAAACATTTACCTTATTACGGATTTTTGAAGAATATTTGGTCAACCATTGGGTGCTAGTCAATTACTGGCTCATCCACCCTACTTGTTTTTTGCATCTATTTTTTTTGTAAAAATTCGTAAAATTGATGTGAATAAAATTATTATTATTATTATCGAAAACTGTAAATACTTACTTTCATTATCAGTTTCAGTCATTACTTTATCCAACAATGATTTAATATTTTTATCTTTGACATGTTCCTCTCTAAGAAAAGATAAGATTGCAGGAAATTCGGCTCTCCAATCTAAAAGTAAATTTCCTTTACTTTTAAAAGCAGTTTCAAAATCCATTTTAGTCTGCAATAATAAATTATAAATATGAGAAAATAAAACAACTCCAAATCAATCCCACATATATAATTAATCAAGGCGACAGGTTTCGACTACAATGCCATTATCAAGCCTATAACAAGTTAAGCGAAATTTAACAAAGTTGGTAAAATATTTAACTAGACATACATACATACCTAAGATCTTAACTGGTTTCTAAAGGTGAATTACAAATTGTAGATATACTAAATCTACTGTATAAAAAATAACTTAACATATGAGGTGCAAGAAGTACCGTTGAAATTAATGAGTAATGTTTAAAGTGGGATCAAAGGTCAAAAATTTTTTTAATTACTAAAAATTAGTTAATAATTGTATAGGTATGTGAGAAAAAGAGGTGGAAGTCCCAGAGTGGGGCGATCAATCCTGATTGACGGAGTGGTTTCCCCAAATTAGGTTTGGAGGAGACCGTGAAAAGGTTATGCTCTTGAAGAGGAGGAGATGGAGCTAATATAGAGTTGATGGAATGGCCAGAATGGTAATTCCTATCAATGTCGTATAATCCAAAGTTATACGAGTCATCCTGATGATAGGGAATGGTAGCGGATTCACTATTAACATGTGTTATAATGCCATCCAGCGTTGTGCAAAATGAAAGTAGCTCATCTGAGAGGTTGGATTCCCTTCTTAGTTTTAATTATAAATATACCTAACGTTTTAGATTACATTATTTTTACCAAAAGAAATGCAAAAGGGTGTCTGTAAAAGGGCCTTGTGTCCAGTAGGCCTTGTGTCCAGTACAGCTGCTGTATCAAAGATTTTAATTTGCTGTATATTTTAAAGTGTCGATACAGCTTTGGGCATCTTCATCTGGTACTAAAAATAATCAGATATAAAAATAAAATTGATACTTCTGTTTCATTTATTACCAATTTATTCTTGATAGCGTTGCACTGTAATGTTAATACATTTTCTTGGGATTTTAGGTTTTATTTGATTAACTGTACATTTTAAATGAGCGTTTAAATTGCGCCATTTGTTATAAATTTTACCTCGTTTGTTTGTTCTGTAATAATCCTAAAAAAAGGAATATATGATTCAACTAAAAGTAATATTAGTAAACTAATACTAATAAAAAGGTAATTAAAAAAAAAACGGTCAGAAATATATCATATAATTTCTAAAACAAATATGATTAACTTTTGACCAAGGCCGACGGTACTGTATTGGAAGCCATCGTAGATTCATTCTTTATTTCTGACCGATTTCTCATTAATTTAATTTTATTATTACTAAAAATAATGCAAAAATAGTAAATATAAGTAAGATCAAACAAAAAGTTTTAATATAAAATAACTAACAACTTACAACTTCTGCCGGCAATCTCTCTATAATTTGACGTTCTGTCTTGAAACTGGTTGCTAGGGACATCGCAATGTATTTATCCTCAAAATAATGAGCGATCAAGTGAATTAGAGTATTTCATTGTCCATCTTAAAACGTCTTGAATTTGTCGTAGTATTTTATTAGTATTTGTGCCATTGCTAATTCGTTAAGAATATCAGACAGCAGTACACGAGTTTCTTAGGAATTATCAGCGATGGAACATCTAATTAGATGACTGTGATTTTAAAGAGTTTTCAGAAAAAGAAGGTGATACAAAACCATCCAAAGGAAAGTTTGTGTCCTGTTGATGACGCCACTGTGTGCCCATATTCAAACGGTTTAAGTAGTCCTTCAATTTGATGACTTTTAATCATATTTAATACCTTAATAGTGACTTTTTTAGCTAAATAAAGTATTTATGTTGTTAGAATTCAAATTTAATAAGAATATGTACAACATACATTTTACTCGTAAGTGGTCCAATATGTGTGCTTGATTCCAAGATTCAAGTAAAGTTTTAAGGTAAAAATCTGGAGTTTTGTTTACAGAGTCAGGTGTAGCTTGAGTCTGTTGCGATTGTGGCGGGATTTTAATGTTGTTTGAAATGTCAATTACATTATTAATAGAAAGGGGATTTATGACATCAGCCTCGTTCGTCTGGGAGCTTGTAGATGGTAACGCTTCAGGTATAATTAGACTAGGTGGAACGTAGACTGTTGGTGAATCGTTCCACACAAAATCGTCGTGTTTATCGTTTATTTTACTTTTAGACACAAACATTGTATATAATTTAACTTACTGTTGGTTTACAATTTTAGAAATAAAATGTTAATATTGAAAATTACGTGAAATGCTCGATGCATTAGTATCTACAATAGTTCACTAAGCACCATTCGAGAGGGTGTCTCAGGAAAAAGCCAAAATAAAAGTTTCAAAAGAATGGACGATTAAAGAGCATCCAAACAAAGTAAGAACGGCATGACTGAACAAGCTTGCTGTAAAGGCTTCTAATTAATGTTCAGTTTATTAATGATCTAATTAAGAATATTTCCGATAAGGTTTACCTTGTTATACCGTTCTTACTTTGTAAAAAAGAGAAAAAATATTTATATACAAAATCTATTACCATTTTTGCTTTTTTACAGTACCCCTATATTTTTATTAAACGATTTTTTAGACAATCTCATAGTACTCTTTTACCCTTAACATGTACATGAGTGATGCCTGTTTCGTCAACATTGTATATTCTGTTTGGCGAAAAGTTGAATTTATCTTATTCTTTTGTAATATTAGAAAAAACACAGAAACCTCTTTTGCATTGAAGCCCGAATTATGTTTTTCACTCCCTGAATCCTACTGACTGAGCCAATTCTGTTTTTAATAACAAAGTTACCTTTTTAAAAAGTTTATTTATACTTAATGAACAAATGGTATACAAATACTAAGCTTACACTTGACTTCAGTACCCACAATGCTACTCTCTTGAAGTCTGGGGTCCTATTTATAATAAGCCTTATCTTTATTACTATAAAGGAAATATACATCATTAGTCTAAATTACTATAGGTACATTAGTGAGGAATGTGGACTACATAACTCCTCCCTTCACAGAGCAGAAAATAGGGGTTCTTGTGTTTTCTGATTATCTTCGGTCGTTTTATGGCGTCGTTGGTCTCGTTGGCGTCGGTGTATTTTAAAGTAGTATATGGTGGTCGCTGTAGCAATTATAGTTAGTATAACTATTAACGTGTTGATCCATGCGTGATTGGAACTGGAGTTGGTATGCAAATTGTTTATTTGCAAATTGTTAGCCATGGTTCTAATCTGTTCTATGTCATCGCTGTTAATTTTCTTTAGGTGGAAAAATTTCTTTTCTTTATTTTCTTCCATTCGTGTAATGTTTATTGATGGAAATTCGAATATGAATTCTTCGTGTGTTGTTTGGGCAGCTTGGAAGTCTTCACCATTTACAGTGATTTTGCATTTTTCTAATGACACAATACAAAGGTTTGTTGGTCTCGTAAATACCTTCTGTTTCACAAGATGTTTGAATGCTGGTCGTTTAGGCTGGTATAATTAGAACAGTTTATTTGGGAAACGCTAGTTTCCGAGTAGTGGACATTTGTCTTAGGACATGAGCTTTTTCCGGTTCTTATGAGGTCACTTAGGCATGGTTGATATTTGTGTAGGTTGTTTCTTGAGCAGAAATACCAGTTTTCAATTTCTGGGCAGTTTTGCGACGTCGTCCAATGTTGAGCAATATATAGGGTTGTTTAGGAAAAATTGTGTGATTTAGTATAGGACTAGGGTATAAATGGAACATTTTATATTGGGAATGTATTAATGGAGTGTGAATTTTAAATAAGACGATTTTATTTTGAATTGTTATTTGTGTTGAAAATAAAGAGTAATAACTTAGTAATGTTTAAGTTCGGGTACTTGATTTATCCCGTATATTTTGAATAATTTGATTTGATCTGAAGTATGCAAGATTTTTAATCTAGCGAACGAGATGGCAGTTTCTAATTTGTTAAATAAATGTTGAATTCCTTGTAATTGCATTAATAAATTATCTATAATATTTGAAAAAAAAAGCTTGTTCTAAACTTATAGATACGTTTATTTTTCTTGATAGGTGTTTAATTTGAATATCTAAAGTTAATTGATTTTCATTTAGTTTTTGAAAATTGTGGCTATATGTATTCGAAAGTTGTTTAAGGAAGCTTTGTTGATTTTTTAAATCGTTATGTATCGTTTGTTCGTTAAGTTTTTAAATCGTTATGTATCGTTTGTTCGTTAAGTTTTTAAATCGTTATGTATCGTTTGTTCGTTAAGTTTTTAAAATATGAAGTTATATGAAGAGGTTGAGTGGTGTGTACACACTGGGTAATAAGAAATGAAGCGAGAGGGTATTTAAAGTGTGTAAATATTGAGTTTTATTTAATAAAACTCCATAAAATAATTCGTCTGAGCGCTTTCGGCCTCTTAAGCCATCATCAAAGACTCTATAAGAGAAAAACGGAGCTGTTACAATACAATAAACTCTATCATTAGGAAAAAATAGAATAAAAAAAACTTTGTACACTTACTCGTCAAAAAAACTTTAGAAGACACATTAAAAAGTAAACTTAATTAATAAGGGACAGCAACTGACCAGTCCCAAGTTTCCACCATAGCTTGCAGCTTAGATAATTAAAAATGCCTGCGACTTCAGTTTCGCTGGAGCCGGCCTGCTCAATTCTGTTGTTTTCAGCTTAGCACCTTTTTAATTTTTAATTTTTTTTTAAATATGTTTTTTTTACCTTCATTTACTGTATAACCTATATTTCTATTTAATTCATTGTAATCATTTGTTGTTTAATAATTTAAAAGTCCCGCCATAACTTGATCTTGCTTGCTCAGTGGTACCAACCCACTTTTATCATTTTCAATATCAAACTTTTTGACAATTTTTCACGAAATTCATTTCAATTTCTCAAGTTGGCATTTTTCTCCTTCATGTGGAAGACTAGCAGTTTCTTATTCTCCATAGTATCAGAAGTGTTTAGATCTACATGGTCAGATAAACCTCCAGAGACTTGGGACTGGTCATTTGCTGTCCCTTATTAATTTATTTTACTTTTCATGTGTCTTCTTAAAGTTTTTTTGACGAGTAAGTGTACAACATTTTTTTATTCTATTTTTTAGTAATGATAAGAGTTTATTGTTTTGTAACAGCTCCGTGAGTCTTTGATGATGGCTTAAGAGGCCGAAAGCGCTCAGACGAATTATTTTATGGAGTTTTATTAAATAAAACTCAATATTTACACACTTTAAATACCCTTTCGCTTCATTTCTTAAAAAAGTAATTAATTTAATACCATCGGAAATATATTTTATTTCCATAGTTTTATATGATCACTTTGCACATTATAATACCCAGATGTAATTAAGTTATTCTTTAGACGTTAATTATTAAACAGATTATTACAATCACAGAAATCAGGGCCGTCGCTAGACTTTTGGCTGCCCGGTGCAAATTTTTAAATTGTCGCCCGCCCTTATGTTTGTAGGCATTAAAAAAAATTAGCTAAATTTAAAAAATGTTTATTAAAAAATATAACATGGTTAAATATATACTATATGTTACATAGTAACACATACATTATACGTAGGCACATAAAAATGAAAGTCTAAAAATCTGACTCAGACCAAATACATAGGTTCATAAAAACTAAATATATCTTCGGGCTTTTTTTTTTCATAAAACAGACTTATGATTGTATCATAATTTAAATTATTGGCAATTTCATGTTCGATGGAGTTTAATGCCAAACCAGTTAAACGTTCCTGTGGCATAGATGATCTTAAATAATTTTCGATTATTTTTAATTTCGAGAAACTTCGTTCCCCAAAAAGTGTTTTTAAATCATTTTCTGTTATATACTTGGACTATTTAAAGGATTATTAGTTTGATATTCGTTTGACCAAATCAAAGCCATAAATGAGAAAGCTCATCTTTAAGCTCCAAACCATGTATATCACTATTTAAGCTATTAGCATCGGATAAGTACGTATGCAAATCCAAGCAGTGTTTGAGTAACTCATTTTTATTAAAAGTGGAAAGCAGTGAAATATTGTAAAGAAAAGAAAAATTATCTGCATGGACTTTTCAAAGTTCAAACCTTTCTTCTAAAGATTGAATTATTGTGTCTCATACAACAAAAAATATATCAACCCTGAACTTTTGTTCGGCTTTCCCATCGTGTATCGCTTAAAGGCTTCAGGGTAAGTAAGGTTATTTTTTCTTTGAGCAATGCCCATTTTTGTGTGGAAGCTATTAAGATCAAGAATTGATTTTTGTACTCCAACGTTTTTGACCCGCATGTTTGTGCCATTATCATATCATTTTCCCTGTAAATTTTGAATATCCGGGGCCTATAACACAAGCCATACAAGTCCTACAATTGTTAGAATAAATTTTACACTTGTAGCTTTTTCATAACACAACTCAACTTGTATCTACCCGTACGGCACCAGTAATTACGGAAGAATTTCTACATATATACACGTATTCTGTAACATAAAGTTAACACTTGTATAATTGTGTTACAGAATTTTCTACAAGTGTAGTTAATGTTTTACCTATCTAAAACTCTGGGTAAAGACTCAGTATTATAGCAATTCTCGTACTGTAAACACGTACGTATCTGTCCTCAGTATGTGGTCATGTGATTCTGAGAGTGACCATGAAGATCCGCTTAGAGAATATCGGTTCAGTGCAAAAAAAGTCTTTGCTTTTCTCACTGATAATGAATTCAACGAAAGGTTTTGTCTGAGCCGAGTTCAATTTGAAGATCTTCTTCGGGACATTGGCCCAAGACTTGCAAATACAACAATTAGATGGTATTGATTGACACCGCCACAGAAGACATTAATTGCTCTCCATTGGTTGGGAAATGGAGGTCAGTACCGTGGTGTTTGTGATATGCATGGGGTATCAAAAATGACTGTGTGTAGGTGTGTACATGATACTGTCAGTGCTGTCAATAAAATCAAATTCGAAGAAGTAGTGTCATGGCCCCATAATACGTTAGATATTGTACAAAGATTTCATGCAGTAGCCGGTTTTCCTGAAGTATGTGGTGTAGTGGAAGGAACACTTATAAATATAGACGCTCCCAGAATTAACGAACCATCCTACGTGGATCGGCATGGTAACCACTCAATAAACTGTATGGCTGTTTATGGCCCAGATCTAAAATTCTACTACGTTAGTGCCAACTGGCCCGGTAGGGTTCACGACGCACGGGTATTACGAAATAGTTCCTTATTTCGCAGAATGGAAAATGGTTGGAGACCTCATCCCAATGCTGTAATTCTAGGAGACTCCGCTTATCCACTGAAGCAATGATTCCACCAACATATGAAGATCCGTTAAATCCAGCCCAGTATAATTTTAACTGGGCACATAAACAAGCGTATTTATTGATAATGCTTATGGCATTTTAAAAGAAAAATTTCCTTGTTTGAATCATCTACGCGTCAATCCCGTGTTTGCCGCAAATATTTTTAAATGTTGCGCGACTATGTAATATTTCAAAAAATAATCACGAAGCAGAAGATTTTGCATTACAAGATGACGAAGACGCCCTAGATGCAGAAAATTATGAAAATCGCGAAGATGATGCACCTGCTGCCGGGGCCCAAGCTAGATTACAAGAACTCATCAATTATTTTGGGATAAATTGATATTATTGTAGTCAGGAAATGAATGTAACATAAAAATATTCGCTTTCCTTATAAATAGTTTATCAATGTTTATCAAATATATAATATTTATAAATTAACACGTTTTATATTTTAAAAATTAACAAGAAAATAACACAACTATATTATATTCACATTTCAAATACGCCCGATGTCAACAGAATCACGTGAACACCTAAACAGAAAAGGGCCGCATTAAGCTCGTGAACCACGCAAAAAAATAAATTTTTGAATTTGTTTGTATTTTAATATTAATAAATCTTAAAATATGTATTGTACAAAATCGGGACCAGGACTGGACTGAGTGAACATTTTAATATATATGCTATATTTTTTATTAATTAGAAGCCATAACAACTTACTTTCGTACATTTAAGGGTTACTTTTTTAAATGAACGTTTTTTTAGAAAGCTTTTTTGGGACTATAGCTACTGACTTACTTTAATGTATTATATATTATATAACCTCCATGATATTGTCTAGTTCCCACATTTTTGGTTCTACCTTTTGACGTACATGTTCAATACAGTGCTGCCATTACTCTGGAGAAATTAATAATACCGCCTCGTCAAAAAGAATTTTCATGTCGGCAAATTTAAAAGTTACAATTCTGGCGGCCACGAAATTCTTCATATCTGCCCAAATTAATTCTATTGGGTTCAACTCACAGTGGTACGGTGGAAGGCGCAATACTGTTTTATTATGATGTTTAGCCATTTCGTCTATTATTAATTTGTCATACTGTTTTTTGTGCTGTTTAACAAGGCCAAGCAGTTCTACTTTAAGCATTTGATCGTCGAAGTGTATATTCTTTAACAGTAAGCAGTTTTGAATTTCTGCTTTCCTAGATGCCGTTGTAGATATTTTCTCCACTTTTCTCGAATGATAGGATGCGTTGTCCAATACTATGACACAATTGTCTTCTAACTTGGGCAAATTGTTTAAAATTAAGTTTTTTTAATAGTTTCCAGAAAGTTGTTCTTTTAAAACTTGGTAAATCTGGATCATCATTAACCTCTTTTAAAACTTTATCGACTGTGAGAAGCTCATTCCTAAACAAGAATTGATGCACTTTCCGTCTTATTGCAGCTTTATCGAATCTTTTACGGAATCTAAGATTTGCGTATAGCTCAATTTTCTTTTTGGTTCAGAGAATGTTCTGTTTTGTTTATACTCTTTAACGATTGTAACGTTTAAATTTGGCCTCATAGCGGTTTTTCATAAAAATAAGAATACACTAGTTTTTGTCCGTGTGAAATTATTTAATGGGTCCTTCTATACCCGCATTTTTAACCACTGTGCTTTTGGTTCGATATTCGAACAGAGCGGTCCTTCTATGACACTGGGTGAGCATGTGGCTGCCCTGTATTTAAGATGTCGGTTTAGTGTTTCCGCTCTGACATTACGTGCGAGTATATGATCAGTTTGGGGTAGATAGGACCTCTATTTGAGTTTAGTTAGGCTGTTTATTTCGTTTTAGAGGCTTTGTTTGGTAATTTTAGCCCTCTCTGTCAAGAATTTATTTCGTAATAGAGGGTGCTGATGGGACACCTATCTGTCACTAAGGTATGTTGGTATTACTGTTTTTTTTTTTATGAAGTGACATTGGCTTCCGCCTTCTGGAATATTTTTCGTAATTAATGTTCGACACGAGGTTTTAATTTTGAAAGGTAGTTTCGAAATTTATTGAAAGTCGTTTCAATCCATTTGGGATATTACGAAGCAACCTTTTGTGTTAAATTAAAACAGTGTGGATTTGGTAGTATTTTTTGGTGATCACATGTTGTAGGAGCTCTTAGAGAGGATATATTTAACCACGTGTTGAATCTCAGTAAGTTTTTTCTATATAGTATTTAAAGTTACGACGTAGATATTCTTTTGTAAGACCTTTCGTTCTTTTATTTTAGTGTCCACATATATATGTAGTCTTTCTAAAAGTCGTTCACGAATTTGTCGTTCAAGTGATCTGGTGGGTGTATCGTGTTCCCCCTTTGCGGATTAAAAAAAGGGTAATTATGCTTTGATTTTAGTTAGAATGCTTACTTAGACCTAACCCTAGGTTCTGTACTTTTCGTTGTATATATTTTCAGTAAATGGGATGAACTATTAGGGGTAGTATCTTGAAATCTAAGGGTGTAATTTGCTTATTAAGTGTAATTGTTGGGTAGAACTTGCTTCACGAGCCGTCTATCTTTTTGCTTTGTAAATCTGAAGATTAGCTACATAAATTGATAAGCCGAACTTTAATTAACTAGTAAACGTTGAGTAGTTTTATCTACTTCTAGATCTCGCTTCACGAGAAGGCTATGTAGGTACCTGGTTATTTAATTTTAACTTCTTATTAACCAGGATAAATAGTTATTACTGTGTTTTATCTTATACGTTTTCTTTATGGTTCTTGTGACGGGCACACACTTCTTGTGACGGGCCAGTATTCTTGGTACGAGCCAGTATTCTTGTGACGGGCACACACACTTCTTGTGACAGGCTGATACTTCTTGTGAAGGGCTATCAACTCTTGTGAAAGCCAACACTTCTTGTTACGGGCCATTAGTCCTTGTGAAGGGCCAACACATCTTGTGACCAGGCTGATTGATTCGTATGCTGCTAACGAAGCAGATATATCAACGTCTACTGGGAAGAAGTCAGTGTACCGCAAGTTTTTGCTATCTTATTTTTTTTATATATCACTTATTACTATTTAATCTATTTTATTGGAGGGTGTTATTAGTATATAATTTTATCTAAACCTAATGTAAACGAGGTTTAGGGGTGTGGTTCACAGTACATTTTTATTAAACCCGAAACACTTCACCAAGAGCTCTTCGTGGGTTATATATTATTTATGGGCAATTAATATTTTAATAAGTAACAGTATTTTACTTGTTTTTATCCCTAGCGTCCGTAATTAGTACACTCTTATTTGTTTTCTTTGATAAATACAGTACACACTTCATGTGCTATAGTTTTACGATTACCCCTAATCCCATTTAATGATTTTTAAGCTTGATATAGTATTTTAGTTGTAAATATTACTCCCAGTGATACTGGATTACTGTTAATAGTTGGGGAATCTGTTAGTAAGGTACTAAGTGATTTAATTATTTGTTTATTTGTTAAATATCAGTACATTTCATAGTAGTAACGAAGTTGACCCCCCCATGTAAACACGATAAATTTATATTACATTATTAAACTTGGGTATATATTGAATCTAACTTATTATTTATCCCCACTTGCTAACTGTCAACATTTATTTTTATGGTAAAGTACACTTTTAATATATTTGGAGCATACTCGATTTGTAGCCGCTTGATGGCCTTGTAAAGGAGATGCTATAGTTTCCTATTTAGAGTTTGGTAGTGAACTGTCACATGGATTGTTGGATGTTAGGTTAAACTCCTGGCGCCCACTGAAGAACATAACTTTTACTACGACTCACCCCCTTATTCACTGTAGTTAGTCGGCATCCAACTTTGGATTGACATAAATCCCACCTCGGTGCTTAGGCACAGAAAGTAGGTAGCACGATGTTAAACACTGTTTTTACAACACACCCCTGTTCTATCTGCCACTCTTCTTTCAATTTCATGAACCACAATCCCAGGATTCTGTAGGCTTTCATGTTTATAAACATTGAGGATCATTTCTTTTGTTCGGGAGTCCAAATGTCCCTTTTTTGGACGTTTTTTGGGAGGTGTGAACGGTATGTTTTCACCTTCATCCGCGGTATCCGTGGAGGACTTAGTATAGTTTTATCAAATAAAGCAGTCCAGCAAAATGAAATTAATAACAATAACAAACAACACGTACGTTGTGCAATAAAACTAAACGCTTGTTCAACCAAAACCAAGAATAACCAAAACCAAGAATAACACAAAGCTTTACACTCTAAAATATTTACTGTTACGCAGCCAAAGGCTAACTGAGCCGAATACAACACTGGTCAAATTGGTCATCTGGCGTTGAAGCACGTTCGTGTTTGACCGCCCAATAGCGTTGCGAGAATTGGGAAACACGTGGCTAGCACGCACTGATCACGCGCTGATCACGCGCTGGTCACTGTTTACATCGGGCGTATTTGAAATGTGAATAGACTTTAAATAATTATTTGGTTCGTATGTGAAGTTTCTATTACAAATTTTGATAGCACCTGCCATTTTCAATTTCATAATTATGTTGTGGTAACGTTGACGTAAACTCAGATATAGGCAGTTCGAGTTCTTGCTCTAATTTTTGTATTTCCAGTTTAGTTCTATAATTCTTCAGTTTGAGGTATTCAACTTGCAACGTAAGCTTTTCTTGTTTTAAAGTAGATGCATTGTCTGTACATGCATTGTTTGCGGTAACTCGTTTTCGTTTTCCTGCAAACAAACAAATTTAATTTAGTCGACAGTTTTATGCGGCACTGATAAAATTCAACCTAGTATATGTGGTATATTATAGTAAAATTAAATATGATTGTGTTAAATTTAGTATTTTTATTTATTTATATATTTATATATTAAGCCTAATTTAAGTAATAAACTATAAATATAGCTGCTTTTTAAATTGCTTAAATACACTAATATGTTTTCTATTATGTTAGCCTCGATGTTAGCTTACCATAGGTTTCTTTTGAAGTAGATGAGGTCACGTGTTCACTGATTGGTCGGCTTTTGTTGACAATACCTTCAGAGTCATCCTCTGGGATTGTTTCACATGAGTGTTTCTGATGTTTTTCGAACGACTCAGCTACTCCTAGTCCACAAATTACAGGAGACTCTTTCCCAATTATTTCTAATACCATATTATCAACTTCAGTTAACATTCCCATTCCACCGGTTCCAGTTTTCTTCGCATTATCAATTTTAAGCTAGAAATATATATGTACCATAAGTCAATAACATAAACACTGCAAGTTACAGAATTACTCACCATTGCAGTTTTATTCAAATTCTGCCACATTGTATCCCTTACATAGGTCCAATCCTTATCTGTGGGAAGTAAACAAATACTTTGGGCCATTATTGCCATTTCTTTCCACTTTTCTATCTTATCTTGCTTTCTTTGTTTGTCAGAGAATGCACCGAAAAGAATGTCTATATTTTCTTTAATCTTATTTAAAAATTGCATTTTACGTGCAAAAATAATTTGTTTTGAAGACATTTTACCTAAGACAAACGCTGTAGCAGATGCACTTAATATGCCGCCTCCCGCCTACTTGAATAACAACTGTCTCAAGCGTGTCGTGACAAGTCGGGAGTCAGTAGGAATAATAGTTACATATGTAACTACATATGTACAAAATTATTGAATTTCTACAATTGTAGCAATTTGCATTGTGATACGGAATTCAGTAGGACTTTTGATACAATTACTTCCGTTAACCCTTGTCCAGTACTATCAATTACTGGACAAAATTCTACAAAGCTCTCTTCAATTGACACAGGATGTAGTTTTACATACCTAAATATTATAGTAATTTTTTCAACTTTGCTTTTGTGTGGAGTGCAATCCAATATTACAGAAAACATTTTTGATTCCAATATATTAGAGATTATTGTCTTTTTTCAACTTCAAGCGGAATGTATCCTCCTCTATATGTAGGTTTGTAAAGGTGACCTATTTCATTACACAAATCGGCAAAAGTTGATTTGTTTAAACGAAAATGTGTATAAAAATCTTGATCAAGATACAATTGAATCCAATGTTAAAAAAATAATGGTATTCGATAATGGTCATCTTCTATACACAAAATTAAAAAACAGTTAAATATGGAGTTATTTTGAGGCAATATGAATTCTATATTCAGAAAAAATATTGTCTAGGAGCATTGCCCAATTTTCATAATTTTTCTTATCTTGTTTGGTGGCGGGACCAATTTAAATTTTAAATGAAATTCAAACGTCGACAAGTTTGACATCTGTCTAGCGTAACCATGACGTCATCATATGTACTAACCAGGTAACAGTTTAGTAAGCTTGCGCAAAATTCATTTATATAAAGATTAAAATGACCTTGGCAATGTAAACATGTAATTTTAATCTTAGTTTAACACAACGGTGGAATCAGCTTTTATCTGTATATAACATTAAACTACTAACTATATAGAGTTCAGTGGTATACAACGGGAAAGTAAAAATGGTTATGTTGTAGCATATAGACACACAATATATTACACAGGTCTACAATGATTTTGGTGCCGCTAAAAGTAAAACTGATTTAAAGTACATTTGGTACCCTAATAAAAACTTGATACTTACTTTTTTAATGCTACGTGTCGTTTTCGAGATTTCGCAAGGGTAAATAAATTAAAAAGCATTTAATTAATTTATTGAAAAACAAAAGAACATTTAATTCAAAACATTTAATTACACATTATTTTACAGGTTAGAAGCTTCTCTTTTTAGATTTTCTCCGATGGATGTTTTCTGGACATTCCCGTGTGATACTCCAACAGTAATCTGCCATCATGTGCTCATCCCAGCGACCTTGATATCTATCTTCCATCACCTTTAAATCTTGATGGAAACGTTCTCCTTGTTCTTCGCTATAGGCACCAAGATTTTCAGGAAACTTATCTAAATGATTGTCCAGATAGTGGACTTTTATGCTCATATTACATCCAAAATTTTTAAAATTAATTAATTAATTTTCGGCCTTCTGATTTCCTAAAAAAATTTTTACAACGGCAACAAAAGATGTCCAAGCCGCTGCTTCTAAATTATTCATTGAACGTATGAAATCGTTGTCTTTTATTAAAAGTCTTATCTGTGGGCCATCAAAAATACCAGCTTTTGGTTTATCATTACTTAAACCGGGAAACTTTCTTGAAATATATACAAAACACGGACTAGTTTTATCTAATGCCTTAACATATTGCTTCATAAGCCCTAATTTGATGTGCAATGGAGGCAACTAAAGGCGGGTTTAAAATATTTTGTTTGCCAACCGTCATATTATTTCTCAAAGGCCAATCTTTCTTGATCCAGTGATCGTTTTTTGCTCTGCTGTCCCATAAACATATAAAGCATGGAAATTTAGTGTACCCACTTTGTTGACCTAATAGAAAGTTGACCATTTTTAAATCGACACATATAACCCATTGGTGCTCCGAGTACTTAAGTTTTTTTAAAACAAGATCCACGTTTTGATACTCCTCTTTCAATTTCGTTGAATGAGCGATAGGCACAGCTGCATGTTTATTACCAATATCTAGTAAAACACATTTTAAACTTCGCTTAGAGCTGTCCATAAATAATCTCCATTCTTCAGCTTTGTATCTTGAGAGCCCCAGTTTCATCAGAAGGCCACTAATGTTATTACAATAAACTATATCATTTTCTGAGCTAAAAAATGGAAGAAATTCTTTTTTCACGATCACGATAAAATGTTATTTTTGTACCTTGAGATAACAAATTTCTTTCTTTGAGTCTAGATGCTAGTAGCTCAGATCGCTCTTTCGAACGGTCAAGGTCTCTAATCAAATCACTTAAAGCATCTTGAGAATAAAGTGAAGGCGATGTTGACACTTCAAAATCACTGTTATGTTCATCAGAAAAAACTTCCACCATCCCTGTGTCCGACAAATCTGATAGATCTGAAAGGTCTTGACTCATAGGAGATGGTACGTTATTTAAACACAGTCGAGGTCTTTTAGCAGACGGTAAATCAGGATATGTCATTTTTCTTTTGTTTATACCATGTAATTCTACAACACAAAAATATCAGTCATCAATGTGATTTTTCGGTTCTGCCCAAATCATTGGCACACTATACTTTAAATGATTACGTTTACCATTTGCCCACTGTCTTAAATGTTCACTACACAACTTGCATACGATGTTTGGAACCCACGGTTTGTACAAAGCCTTCATCTCTATATTAAAGTAGTCAACGTATGTCTTCTTCACTGAATCTGTTATATGTTTTCTAAACTTTTTCACTACATATTCACTACAAATGTAACAAAATGTATTTACACAACACCTTCTCGACGACGGCATATCGATATTATTAATTAAAAAAAGACATTAATTGATTATGATGACATTAAAAATGATAAAATACATTTTTTTAGGTTATTATCGATCGATACAAACTTGAACGTAGCTTCAAGATTTTGACAGCTTTACACGACATCTTGCGGGCTAAATAACCAAATTATAACATCAAATTAGCGGCACCAAACAAAAATTTTTTTTTGTAGACCTGTGTTATTATTTAGGACTTTTCTAGAATTAGATTTAGTGTCGCAAAATGAATTTGTAGAAATCTACTTTTATACATTTTTTAATGTTTTGTTTAAAGTTATTTAATACATCTTTCATTTATAATATTTATAAATTTGTTACAGGTAGGTACCTCAATTGATTTAGGTACGAATAGTAAACAGTAATTCCATACCTGCCCACTCTTCGTTGAAACGTTCAACTTTATAATATTTGCGAACCATTCGTAAATAATTTTAATTTTTTATGAATTCGTCCATATTTAATTTAAGCTTTATTATTTAATTACGCACTAGTTTGTGTTAAATAATTACTAGAATCAGCTATAGCCATTTTGAACTTCAAATGTGACCCGCTGATGTGGTTAGTGGAGTCTAAATAACATTGGAGAACTTCTGCTACACATAAGGGCATTTTTCCTTAAAATAGGGAATGCGCAGAAAAGGTTGGAAATAATTCTCTTCTGATGTCTTTATTTTGTGAGGTATATTTATTTCAAAGCCGTCAGGTTTTTTATGTATATTTTTTGTACCTATGAGCGCCTGATTTTGCACTCTTTGTGCCGTAATTAGCGCTAACAAGGTGACAAGCTTGAAGGTTAACTCACGAAGAGAGAGAGAGATTTGTTGGGAAATTTTTTACTAAGGTAGGAGATATATTTTAGATTCGAAGGTCTTAAGTTATGAATGCCTTTAAGGAAGTGTTTAATTTTGGAGTCCTCTCCAACTTCTGGACCTAAAATTAAAGATAGCGCATATAAGCCGTCATTTTGAAATAGCTTGGAGAAAACTGAAGAATATTAGACACCGAAAACTCGAAGCAATCGAAGTTGTTATCACTGCAAAATTGCCACCAAGGTTTTAAACGAAGAATATTGTTTGAGTGTTGGTGGAGTAATTAAGGATATAAGAATTTCAATGACTTCTAATGATATACCTTTCCGTAGAAACAAAGCTTTTACTGCATAGGAAGGCAAATACTGGTTTTAAAAACTTAGTGAATACGAATGGAGCACTACTTGGGACGAAGGAGAGTACTGAGTATTCGTAGGTAATTCCTTCAAATTTAAAACGTATTTCTTATGAGCTTTGTGTATTTTTACTAATAAATAGGCTTCTTTAAGGTCAATTGACCCCATAAAACTGTCTTTAGACATAAGATTTATAGCAATAGTACTATTTTGCATTTTAAAATGCTCGACATATAGGTATTTATTCAATTTCTTTAAGTTAAGAATTAGCCTTTTCTTGCCATTGGGCTTAGGAAGTAAAAAATGTTAGAAATAAATTGGTTATTACTAGTTGAGCATTCCTTTGACTTTGATTTCTAAAAGATGGTTAATTTCAGACCTGATTTGCGATTTTTCTTAATTTGACAACTCTTTGGAAACTGGAGGGCATTTCTGCTTAGGTTTTTGTATAAAAGGTAATTTATATCCCTTTAACCAGGATAAAATTCTTTTCTTTGCACATGTTTTACCATTCGCCAACAAATTTAGAGAGCTGACCTGCCTCGAAACTAAACGTAAATCTCGCCAAACAGCAGAGTCCGAAAATGCAGCCTATCCGACCCTCATTAGGCTTAGGTGGGTTTAGTTGTTGACAATTGGCAGGAATAGGATATTCTGATATTAAAAAATTTCTTTCTTCTTGAGTTATACCCTGTTTAAGGATCGCCGACCACCTCCTGGACAAGTCTTAAAGAATTTTTGGTCCCTTGTTTTCAGACTGTGCAAGATTGGGACCGAACAAGGATAGAAGAACATTCTCAGTCAATCATGAGATGGGAGGGGAGGTCGCAACCACTGTTACTCGAACCTATTGACTCCTCGTCCAAGGAAATGATACAAGTGATGCGACGATATTTACTAGGCCTTTCTGATGATAAACTTCCGGACTTGGA